AAGGATTAGATCCTTTTTGATCAATGAGGTTCACGTGCCTATTGGTTTGACCAGTTTTTAAAAGTTTTCATGCACTTCCCGGGTATGTAATGAACACGCAGATCCTTCTCCTTTTGTGGATTATGTGATGCCAGGCAAAACCTTTCCGAAGAATTCTCAATGCCCATTCGATTAGGGGATGCTTATAAATTAAATTACGCCACGTTGACACTCGGAATTTCAGACTCCCTCCTACCCTTGAATACGCCCAAGTTGTCGCACCTCTGACGTAAGGGCGTAACTCGATTTCTACATGAGCCCCAGAAGGCATGGCTCTATGTGTAAAATAGGGCTCGCGTGGCAATTGAGATATGCGCCCTTACGCCGGAAGAGCGACAAAATTAGGTCTGTGCCCGGACGAATTGCATCACAATTTGTTAGACTTCCGCCTTTTAAGGTAATTATCAGCATTTTTTGGCCGATCTTTTGATCAAAATTATTGGGAAATCTTCTCAAGCGTGAGTTCACGTAGTCTTCGAGCCCGTTCTTTCCCCTCTCTCACGCGCACATTGGCTTCTTCTCCAACAAACGTAACGTAATTCATGAACAGTCCCTCAAATGTGACCCAAAATAATCATTATTTACTCTGCGGAAAAAAGTAAAGAAATGTATAAAAAAATGAATAAAGTTAGATTTTAATTAGCACTGGGGGGTACGCCTCCTGACCGCTTTGCGGCCCAACCCCTTGAGGCGCGGGGCGCCTCAGCCGTTAGCCCGTTACACGTTATATGTTACTCTGATGATTTTGTATTCTTGAGCATGATATTTCGTTGTTCCCCTCACAAAAGCACGTAACTACATTCCACTGTTGCCAAATTTTCCCTCGCAAATTGCACTTTTACCAAGAGAATTTTGGGAAATTCTGACTGACATTTTCACTGATTTTTCTTCGGATCTCACGCAGAAATCAGAAAAGTTTTGGACGAAAATTTTACAGGTATATTCTTGTAAAGAAATTAAATTGTTTGAGACAATTTTGCAACCTTAGAATGGAGTTATGTTCCTTCTTGCAGGTAACGACGATTTACGTTACGTTACGTTCCCTTGGGCCTCAGACTAAAGACTTCCTTCAATTCAAGTTCATCATGTGATGGGCACCCCCGGAAAGGTGTAGTTATTGGTTAGTACGGATTTGAATCCTTGGACCGCAGTTCAATCGATAGAAACCAAACAGATGGTCCTTTGCAAACAAATCCCTATTCCTAGAATGACGGTGGCGATCAGAGCGCCGAGTGCGGCATATGTTTGCGTAGTGGGACTGGAATTGGGAGTTCCTCCCCGCGCGGTGGCGCACAATGGATCGAGTCTATAGGAGGAGTCGGACAAACTTCGGAAACTTCAAACGCTTATAACTCCTTTTACACAAGACTTTGGAGTTCTGAAAGTGGTTCCATTGGTTTTCTCGTGAAATTTTCTTCAAGTAACACCCCTTGTAGTTTAAAATTCGACGAAATGAACATAAAAATTTGCAGTTTTAGTCGAAAAATTTATGTCCGACCTCTCTAATTGAATCGATCCACTGTGTGGCGGTGGCGCTAAGGAGTGCGCGGAGCCCGCTTGGCATATTGCGCTATCTGTTATAATAAATGCCCATACGGATCCAGCGCCGCGGAATCGGACGTAGGATTGGAACCTTGCCGCATCGTTTCGAAACTTTCCTGCTATTCATGCGAGGATCGGAGCCCTCCCACCCCCACCCGCCACCCTCACACGCCCTCAATGCGCAGCCGCGGACCGTAAAAAAAAGTCGTGGGAAGGTGGGCAGTCTCCGCTCCTAATGACCATACTGCCGCGTTAGGGAAAAACGCCGTATGAGCCTTTAGACGTTGCCAGATTTCCGTCACTAAAAACGGAATTTTTTTAGTATCAATGTGAGTAGTTTTTCCCACAATTTTCAGACAATTTTTTACGCAATTTAATCTACAATATCCGTAAATTTTAAGGAAAAAGATGCATAATTGTCGTAAAAAATACATGTTTTTTAAGGGAAATTTGGCAACTCTCGAATGTTCATACGGCGTTCTTCCCTAGCACGGCAGCATACATCCCAAGTAAACAGACTCTTTCGGCCCGGGTTTTTTTCAGCCTTAAATCAATGCTCCTTTATATTCTGACCACTTCGTGGTGTAAAATATGATTTTTGAATACTGTTTGAAGCCCTTATCAATACCGACGTTTTCTGGTAGCCTTCGCTGTAGCGGTCACTTGGTTGAATCGGAGGATCCTGATTTGGTGGTTGAATCTCATTGATTAGCAGTATGTTAGAGGATTTGTCCGAATGTCAAGATAACCATGAATAATAACGTAAGACTCTCTTTCCTATGTTTAGTCCCTTGCCTCGTAGCATCCTGATTACAACTTTAAGTATCTCGAAAACTTATATCTGAAAACTAAACTGAGGTAGAACGTAAGAGCTATGAGGATGAATTGGTATAATTTATAAGCTTTATCAACATTAATTTCAGCCATGCAGGGCCGGATTTAGGGGGTGGCCACATGGGCCGCGGCCCATGGCGGCAATTTTAGGGGGCGGCAAATTTTGCAATTTTTTAAATGGAAGTATTAAAAAAATATTGGATTCAGAAAAAAAATTACAAGCAAGAAAAGGCGACAAAATCTCTCATTTTCAGAGAGTACAGTAAATTCTAATTTTGTCGTCTTTCGTTGATACAAGAGACCTTTAATTTGTCGAGTCTGGAACGACGCGGCGCAGAGAGCAATGATGACGAGGACTTGAGATGAAAAGGAGAAGCCCTCGGTGCAGCGGTCGGCATTTAACACACATCAGCGCCTAGAAAACTGCATGAGTACTTCACGCATTGCGTCAAACACAATGCATGGAGCAGCGGTCGACGTGAAACGCATAGCGCCTACAAGACTGCATGCATACTTCACGCATTGCGTCAAACACAGTGCAATCAGCTCGGAGCGGTGGCAGAAGTTAAAATCATTAAACCACATTTATTTTTGTTCTTTCATAATATTTTTGTTCATTTCTTATAAATGGAAGGCCTTGTCCACACAGAGATAGGTTCACGGAACTTAACCTCTCAAAAAAATGTTTCTAACACGAGTAAACACGTCTTATGCACCCCTCCCCCTCCGGCACTTCCCTTGATAGTTTTTATTGATGTTTCAAAACGAATGAGAAGGGGGCGGCAAAATACACGCGGCCCATGGGCGGCAAGTATGTAAGTTCGACCCCGGAGCCATGAAAATTATTCGTCAGTGTATTCACTTGTGAGGGAAATATAAATTTCGAGAAAGCGGTAGAATCAGTGAAATTCCATAAATACATGGTAGCGACTAGCACACTTGCGTGCCCGTGTGATGATATTAGTGAGCCAAGAACTAGTTGGGCTTGGTCCGGGTAGGCAACTAAGCTTACTGCGTGACGAGGCGTAGGGTATTACGAGGAAATGAAGGCGCTCGAAACTGAAGAGGCCGTACGCACTGTTGAGAGCTTTTATCGATAAAACTCTCACTGTTCCGATGAGGACATAAGCATTCTGTCGTAAATCTACGCTCCAGTTACAGTTTGCTGATTGCCAACAACCTGTATGATAGGTGAACAAGAGAATATTTTATTTATTTATTTATTACTAATTAACTAACTAAGGAATATAACTTAGAATATAACTAATTAGGGGCAATTAAGTATGTCAAAATCTCGGCTGCTAATGTAAGTTCAGAAGAGAAACTTAATGGGTGATTTTTCTGAAATCTGTCGCATTGAACATTGTAATATCCTTAAGTGTGTTCAAAAATTTCAACAAAATAAATGCTTTCACTTTCCATGTTATGAATGTTAGTTGAGATTCAGATAGAGTCCAGGCAATCTTTTGTCGCGGTCTAGAACATAGAGTACATCAAGTCGTAATGTAAATGGAAGAGCTGGCGCCATGTTCTGGTCGACGAATGCCGAACCCGGTGTGCGTCAAGCACTTTGGTCACTTTTTCATACATACATATTCGATCCAAAATGGGGATGTAGAATACGTAATGAATCTTATCCTCTTTGCTAACATCGGACAGCCGGGTCCCCATGTATCGCAAACAATCGATTATGTATCGAAAAAGTGACCCGGCGTGACACAGGAGTCTCGGAATTTGGGATCTGGAAAAGGCTTAAGAGTGGCGCCAAGTATCCCAATTACATTACGACTCTATGTACTCTATGGTCTAGAAGTACGTAATTTTATTCGGCGTGGACTTCACACCGTAACCAAGAAGGGTCCTTCCTGCACTTCAATTTTGGTACGCTGTGGTCAATTAAAGGTCTTATTATTTGATTATAAAAAGTTGTGCTTCCTGCACCCTTTAAATTCAGCAAATTTGATGCCCCAAGATAATTTTCCGATTGTCATGTGTTCTTATGCGCATCCGAAAAGCGGGTCGGAAAAGGCGAGGTACAACGACGCAGAACATGGGGGAATCCTGGAGTGCAGCAGCGCAGCCGGGCGACTCGTTATCTCCTTTAGCGTGGCGTAACGCCGCCGCCGCGCCGTAACGCGGAGCACCGGAGAGGACCGTAAGGTGCAGCACTGCCACTGTAATTAGCAGTGTGTAATTTGTCCCGCGGAATAAACATTTGCTCGCTTAATGTTTCAGGAAGCTCGAAAAGAGAAACGTCCAAACTTGAAATCTGCACGTGGTCGGCCAGACTCGGATCGTGCGCCGTATGTTCAAGCCTGGTTGTTGGCGCTTTAATTTAAACCAGAACGCAAAGGGTTAAAATGGACTGCAGGGACTAAGTAACATGAGCTCAGAGGGAGGGAGAATGTGATTGAATTTGCAAAAAATCATGAAATTTAATAGAAACAAAAAGGAAAAAAGAAAAGAAAAAAAAAGATGCAAGGTAAAGCCTCGAGACGGAAGTGATAAAGTTGCATAACACAGATGCATAAACCTGATATTCTTTCGATAAAAATTCAAAATTATAGGTCGAGCAATTGAGCATTCCTCTGAAACTGCATGCAATGCAGCATTGGCCCTCAGCAGTCGAATTTAACCTGCGAAAAAGGGAATATTTTATACATTTTACCAGAATTATGGAAATACTCTCGCATATCTAGTGCACACTTGCTTGATTGCATTTTGGCCAGTGGATTGATTCATTTAAAACTGATCCTCCTCAATTGAAGTTTCTGGACAGTGATCAAGTGTTAATTGTGGAGTGTAATATTTGTTGAGACAGCATCTCTGTTATACCCTTTTTTCGGAAAATAGACTAAACCAGTATTTTGAGGATGACATCTGCGAAGAATAAGTTCAAGCCTGTTACGCATTGTATTTTTGACTTGGACGGCCTCCTGCTAGGTAAAAAAAAAAAAATATTTTAAATGAAAACACAGCGCTGCGCGGACTATTATGTTTATTGGATGACTTTTAAAAATGCATAATTTAAAAATGCGACTCTTCTCTCAATCCGGCCCTGGCCGTTTTAATTACTGTCGCATGATGAAAAGTGGGGTTTCCTCACGTAAAAAGGCATTCATGTATGGTTAACATTCAAGTTACGGCGCTTTATATTGCAGTTTTCAAATTTCCGTTTCAGACTCTGAAAAAATTTATAGGGTGGCTTTTTCAGCGGTCATCGCGAGATACGGCCGAGTCTACACAAATGAAGCGAAAATGAAGGTCATCGGGAAACAGCCCCTCGACAGTTTACGGACTTTGATCGATCTTTTGAAAATAGAAGGAGCGACTCCAGAAAAACTTGCAGAGGAGATCAAAGAGCTGATGAAAGTTTGGATCAAGGATGCTAAATTCAAACCAGGTTTGTCGCAGAGCTGCAAATGATTTATGGCCGCTCGTTTTGCCTAACTTTGAAATTGAAGGCGATCAGCCTGCATCTGACTTAAAGAAAGAAAGACGTAAAGGAATAGCCGGACGTCCGGACGTCGCCATTTATGCATTAAATTTCCAACACTGTCTGCTTGCTCCCATCTTTCAGCTCGAATGTACCAGCGAATATCACGAGCTTGCACTTTTCCCTCTCATTTTTCTTAAGTTATTCGAGGATATATATTAAGGATGCATACAAATTGTAAATCAGGCTGATGCACAAACTATACCAGAAAGGAAGAAAAATTTGGAGCCCCGAGGTCTGAATTTTGGAAAATGCATTTGTGACCACAGAGAATAAAAGAACAAAGAACTATCGACAGCATATTATCTAAGTAATTAAATTGATGGGAGTAGGCCTTTTCTTCTTTTTTTTTAATCGTTTAAGTAGGGGGATAAATCTTCATAATTTTAAGTGTCACTAACATGCAAATGAAACTATGCATCTCTTTCCTAATCATAAATATTCGTAGGTACTAACGAATTTTTGAATTTTGTATCGACAGGTCACAGTTGTACTATTAACTGCAGGTCCTTGTCTAGTAGTAAATTTTGCATCCTTGCGTTCGGCTCTGCTATTCCCTTCCATCTGCGTATAAGACATCTATGAGGTACCTCTCTGAGTACCGTGCGCAATTTGTAGGAGGTCCAGTTCAGCTTATGTATTTAATGCTTCATGTGAAAATAGGCATCTTAACTTTTAAAGGGTTCAAGCTCAGTGTCAGTCATGTGGCTAATCTAAATTCTAGGCGCTAAGAAACTCATTCGACATCTGGCAGCACACAAAATTCCGATGGCCATAGCAACGAGCGCTTGGGTTGAAATGGTGGATATTTTAAGAGCCTGTCACCGAAAAACTTTTTCTCTTTTCCACCACATCGTCGTCAGTGACACTGATCCTGAGGTCGCCAGGAGCAAACCGGCCCCTGATATTTTCTTCGTCGGTGCATCGAGGTTTCCCAAGAACCCACCTCCGGAGAGGGTAAGTAAAACAGGATCCAATCCTAAAATATGAACATGTCTTTTTCGAGTGGTTTTTGATTTTTCAATCAAAAAATTTACCATTGATTTTCGATTCTGAATGCAAAAAAGTTGTCCTGGTAATCTGTTTATTTGTTCAAAACAAAATTCGCCTGCTTGATTCTGCCCATTTGATCTTCAAAATTACCAAAATTAAAGTTAACAGTGGTCCGGGTGTGTTGTCTGGGTAGTCTTGGGAGGACGTACACTGTGTGCAAGAGTGCTCATTTATTTACAGTTATGTATTACAATTATTGCGAGATAGTATATTAAGGTACTTTTTCCCCCGTTTTTACCAGTGTTTGGTTTTTGAGGATTCACCCTCTGGTGTGCTGGCAGCTAAGCGAGCTAGAATGCAAGTTGTCATGGTTCCAGATAGTATGGTAACACAAGGATACAAGGACCAAGCCACTCTCATCATCAACTCACTGGAGAACTTTTGACCAGAGGATTTTGGCCTGCCCCCTTTTTAAATTATTTGATGCAATTTCAATCATGGATTTTTGCAAAAAAAAAAAAAAAAAAAAAAAAAAAAAAAAGAACTGCATTCAGTTGTTTCTACTTTTTAAGTGTCCCGCGCATCCACCGCGTGAAGCAAGTGTATTTCCGGAGGTAGGAGTGGTACAGTCATAGAATCGTATGTCTGTAAGCCATTATGTAATGAATAGTTTTTCCAGATATTTCCTTTTCCTGACCCACAGCACAACGAACAGTTTGCCCAACAATTTTTCCCCCTGACCCATTTTGCGGCCCTGCTCCGGCCGGCTTCCCGGCTCCCGTCATGCCGCGCAACCCCCCCCCCCNTGCCTAAAATTCGCCATTTTTAAACGGCTTAACTGATTTAGCTCAAATTCAATACCAAACCAGTCCTAGGGATCTAGACCAGTCCAGAACTACCACCCATTAAAACGGTCATGTTAATAGGATGACGGGAGAGAGGCTGCCAAAAAGGATGCTTGATTGGGTTCTTCCTGGGAAGAGACAAAGAGGACGCTCAGTGAAAGGGTGGCGACAGGGGGTTTTAAATGAAATGTGGGAGTGAAAACTCCCTGACGGGTTGTGGGAGGACCGAGTTTAGTGGCGGTTAGGTGTCGCAAAGCGCCAGAGAGCGGTATAAAAGCGACTTTTATATATGTAGCCCCGTAGGATATTGTAGATCAAGTATATTATACCATCCAATAATACTAAGGTATGCCATGTATCACTCCGATGAACACCTCGTTCACAGGCCCATGTTGGTACCTCCAGCGAGTGAACAAACCTTTCGCATCTCGAAAAAGTTGTGCTTCCCCCGGGTTGAATGCGATCCTGTTAAAACTGAGTCGATTACCACGCTGCTTACCGTGAGGCCCTGGATGACCCCGTTTGGTAGGACCGAGGTTGATATGAATCAAAAAAACGATGGGGTGTCACACGTGAGAATGGTCATTCTTGGTCCGTGATAAACGCCACACTCGACTGCTGCCCCCTCTAGCGTGACCGCTCAAGACAGGTGGTTGTTCCCGGCCCCGTCCCGTGGCATGGCTTACAGTGGATCGAGAAATAGGGGATTAGGACGAAATTTGGAAATTTTAAACGCTTATAACTCAGTTCATACAAAACTTAGAGATTTTAAAATTGGTTTCCTCGTGAAATTTTTTTCTAGTAGCGCCCCTTGAAATTTAAAATGTGACGAAATGAACGTCAAAATTTGCGGTTTTAGTCAAAAATTGCATGTCCAATGGAGATGTTGCATCATCTCCATTGGTTTCCTCGTGAAATTTTTTTCTAGTAGCACCCCTAGAAATTTAAAAAAATGTGACGAAATGAACGTCAAAGTTTGCAGTTTTAGTTAAAAATTTCAAGTCTAATAGACTGGAGCCCTCTGTGTGGCGCGTCTCCTCCCCCGCATCCCCTCCGCGGGCGAGATGCGGCTCGGCGAGAGGACTGAATGAAAATGGTTATTAAAACGAATGATGAAAAAAGAGGCGAGCGGGCGCTGGAATGGATGAAGCCGAGCCAATGCCCCCATTGCCCCCCGCAATTTTCCTCCGCGTTGGAGGTTGGAGTCGGAGCCGGGCTGGATGAGGATCTTTTATACCCTATTCTTCGGCCGTGGCTGGAGGTCACAGCGCCACGCCGCGCCGCGGTGAAAGCTGCGGTTCACCCTGACAGAAGCTCGCGGCGTCGCGGCGTTGCGTTGTCGCCTCGGCTGCGGCAGCGTCCCCTTGGAGCGCGTCGCGACGCGGGCGGTGGCTCCGTCACCGGAGCAACCCGACGCAGCGCCACTTGCCGACGCGACGCACCCACCAGCACCTTAAAATGTATCGTCACCTTCCGACCGAATAGGCGATCACAAGCGTCATGCTACTTTTCAAAATTGTCGCCGCCATTTCATTTTTTTTTTACAGAGAAATGGAGAATTTGCACAAATTGTTATTGCTTCATCTGAGAGTGCTCAATGAGCTGAGTTTACAGGTTTTTTTTATAATTTTTTTCTGACATGGAAAATTGTACTGAAAAAAAAAAAAACTCCGGCCGTGGGAGCCGCCATTACGGGCTATATAGACATACCGTCCGTTACGGGCTCAAAGGCCGAAAATTCCGGCTGCTGGAGCCGTAGCCTCGGCCTCTGAACCCGGAGCAATCGAAGCTACGCCTCCAGCAGCAGGAATTTTCGGCCTTTGAGCCCGGAACGGACGGTATATCTATATAGCCCGTAATTGCGGCTCCCACGGCCGGAGTTTTTTTTTAGTGTGGAGAAAAATAGATTTATAGGTGAAAAAATCCGCCGCCACATGACGTCATATGGCGGCATTTTCCATTTAAACACATGTATTCTAGCAGATTAGGTTATTTTGTCGTATTTTCTCCAATAATTGTCCAATTTAGAAACCAAGGATGTCCTCGTACTCAGTTTTCCGAGCAGTATCATTTCAAAGATGAAACTCAGAAAATTTAAGACACCTGCAAATTCTCTATTGCTGGTTGAATCTGTTTGAAAATTTCACTGAATATTATTGGCGCCACAAAGAAAATTCAGCGAATTTTTCGGACAGCTTCGTTGAACAATTTTTTTGTAAAAGCATCAAATGGCGGCGGAAATTTTTAAACGTCGCTTGTGATACTTTGGCCGGAAGGTGACGGTATCTTGCGGTCATTTTCATAGTTACTCTACAAGCGCGCTCTCCTTGTTTAGGAGGACTCCATGTCGATGGATAAAATGAGATACTACGTATCTCCATTGCGATATTTCAAAATCTCGGCTCTTATTTTAATTTTTCGAGGAAAAATAAGTCATATGACAAGGACGATGCGGGACTTTTGAATCACCCTGTATGTAACGAATAACTGAACATTTCAAATTTAGCTCATATACTTACGTATGATTCTTTTTTTATTTTAAATCAAGTTTTTTTCGTATGCAAGGAAATGTCACAAGCAATTTTTTGGAAAAATTAAGGTGAAAGTCTTATAGTTTCCAAGGTTTAGGTATTAAAATAGTTTTATGAAAGTCCTTCTTTTTAGTTTCCCAGGCATTATCAATTGAAAACTCGACAGCTAGAGAGAGGTCG